TTTGTAACCCCTATAGACTTTTACAAAGCCATATATAAAAATTGTTGGCCCAGCATCCCCAATATTTCCACTGGGCATTTTCGCGATGAGGATTAATCAAGAAAAGCTTGCACTTATAAATTGCTCGTTTGATTTTCTACCACTTTGTAGAAACCATTGCTGGTGGGACATTATTCCCCAAGGATATTATTAGCACTTTCGTCAATACCACTGGCGGATGAATCGTAGTACTCAGGGTATCGTAAGCCCTGTAGTTAATACCACTGCTGGTTGATTATTAACTCCCAATGGTAATATAAGCCCAGAGCCCAGAAGTCGGTGCAACCAATGGTTGGCTATTAGTCCCCAAGGATATCATAAGCACTTTCGTCAATACCACTGCTGGTAGAATATTAGTACCCAAGGGTATCGTAAGCCCTTTAGTTGATACCACTGCTGGCTAACTATTAGCTCCCAATGGTATTATAAGCCCTGAAGTCGGTGCAACTGCTGGTTGACTATTAGTACCCAAGGATATCATAAGCCCTGAAGTCGATACCACTGTTGGTTGACTAATAGTACCTTAGAGTATCATAAGCCCTGAAGTCGATACCACTGTTGGTTGGCTATTAGTCTCCAAGGATATAATAAGCACTTTCGTCAATACCACTGCTGGAAGAATATTAGTACCCAAGGGTATCGTAAGCCCTTTAGTTGATACCACTGCTGGTTGATTATTAACTCCCAATGGTATTATAAGCCCTGAAGTCGATACCACTGTTGGTTGACTTATAGTACCCAATGGTATCATAAGCCCTGCAGTCGATGCCACTGCTGGTTGACTATAAGTACCCAAGGCTATCATAAGCCCTGCAGTCGATACCACTGCAGGTTGACTATTAGTACCCAAGGTTATCATAAGCCTTGCAGTCGATACCACTGCAGGTTGACTATTAGTACCCAAGGCTATCATAAGCCCTGCAGTCGATACCACTGCAGGTTGACTAGTAGTACCCAAGGCTATCATAAGCCCTGCAGTCGATACCACTGCAGGTTGACTATTAGTACCCAAGGCTATCATAAGCCCTGCAGTCGATACCACTGCAGGTTGACTATTAGTACCCAAGGCTATCATAAGCCCTGCAGTCGATACCACTGCAGGTTGACTATTAGTACCCAAGGCTATCATAAGCCCTGCAGTCGATACCACTGCAGGTTGACTATTAGTACCCAAGGCTATCATAAGCCCTGCAGTCGATAACTCTGCAGGTTGACTATAAGTACCCAAGGGTATCATAAGCCCTGCAGTCGATACCACTGCAGGTTGACTATTAGTACCCAAGGCTATCATAAGCCCTACAGTCGATACCACTGCAGGTTGACTTAGTACCCAAGGCTACCATAAGCCCTGCAGTCGATACCACTGCAGGTTGACTATTAGTACCCAAGGTTATCATAAGCCCTACAGTCGATACCACTGCTGGTGGATTATATGTTTCCAAGGAATTCATAAGCCCTTTAGTCAGTGCTTGAGTATATATATATATATAGTGGTCCTGGTTTGCTCTTACATTCTGAATCAGTTTATTTTGTAATAATGTCAATTCATTTATACATCTTATATCAGTTCGATGATAAAAAAATACAACAGCACCCGCCCAGTGTGGAAAATGATTACGTACTACTATTAAAATAATTGTGTTTTAGACATAAATATTAATCTACCTTACCCTGTATAAAGTCGTCGTTTGACTCCGAGCCGTTATCGCAGTAACATTTGTGTACACGTACATATATGCACATCCGCCTCCATCGACAATTCCATTTAGTAATTATATATAAGCACATTGGATGTCCAATATCAATAAGATACGATCAAATTGTTAATCATCTCGTCATGTACTTGTGGATCATGATTTCAGGAAAATAGCCGGATTTCTAGGCACCGCATTGTTATTGATTTCAATCATTACTATAATGTGTAAGGTGCACATACGTACAGCGGAGAATTGTACTTGTCAAAGAGGCTGTCAACCTGGTTGAACGTTGATCGACAAAATAATTATTGGAAATGTTGAATGGAACAAGTAATTTATTTGCTATATTAAATATTTATTGCTACGAAGATAAGAACGTGTAATTAGATCACTAGGACACATTGAACACATCAGTTCGAACGTAAATTTAAAAAAAACTTCACATGTAGTATACTAGAGTAGTACAAGAACGTTTGGTACTGCATATACAAAAAGTTTGTGAAATACGTGCATGTGTGGATAAATTTGAAATCATTTTAGACAACATTTTGTGAACTTCATACCAGTGGTCATTCCCTATTAAGCTGAAAGCTGCATTAAATTATTAATCAATGCTGTAGAACTATAGCTCTTTTAAATTCCATTAATCTTCAAAATAACATATTAGAAACTGCAAACAGTTATGCTTTGAATATGATAAACGCCCATCGTCCATTTTTTTTCTGACACAAAGGAACTTTTTTTTAGAAAAATCAACTTTTATGTCACCATAAAACCATAAAGTTTTAACATGTTATACTTGTGTAAGACGTCATTGTTTATAATTTCCTTAAACATTTTTTGTCCCCCGCGTAACGCATTGCGGGGGACATGGAAATACCGGGTGCCCTTCCGTGTGTCCGTCCGTCCGTCCGTCCGGTCTTGTTAGCGCTCTCACAGGTACCATTCTTGAATGATTTTTTTAAAACTTATACTATAGTTTAATATCAGCAATATCTCGGACATTTCTATAATGGTGCAGCCGATCGACTTTTTTTAAAAGAGTTATGCCCCTTGGAAATATTAAATTTATGGAAAATGGCCTCGTTAGCGCTCTGACGGGTACAATTCTTGCCAGATTTTTATAAAACTTATACTATAGGTTAATATCAGCAATATCTCGAACAAGTTCTATAATGGTGGCCGATCGACTTTTTTTTAAAGGAGTTATGCCCCTTGGAAATATTAAATTTATGGAAAATGGCCTCGTTAGCGCTCTGACGGGTACAATTCTTGCCAGATTTTTTATAAAACTTATACTATAGGTTAATATCAGCAATATCTCGGACAAATTCAATAATGGTGAACGATCAACTTTTTTTAAAAGAGTTATGACCCTTGGAAATATTAAATTTATGGAAAATGGCCTCGTTAGCGCTCTCACGGGTACATTTTTTTATAAAACTTATAGTATACTTGAAGGTCTATTTGAAATATTAAGTATACAATAAAAAAACTTGTTTGTCCACCGCGCACGGTTTTTATTTATAAATTGTTTTAAAGAACAAAAAAAAAGTGGTTTTTTTTAGTTATTGCCCCTGGATAGATAAAATAAGTGCAACACGGGGGACATTGGAACTCTGTTCTTTTATTTAAGAAGAAGTTGTCATTTCACATAAAAGGATTTGGATAAATAATAGATATATATGAGCCTTACTCAAAATATTTCTTTCTATTTATGGATGTTTGTTGTATAAGACATTTTGGCCAAGCCTATTTTAACTGTTGAAATAGAAAACAATACATGTCATTATCAAGGATGGGGTAACATTTTTCTTTATGGAGTTTTTAAATTCTTAAATTGCTACAGAATCTGACTTTATTTATCAAGGATGATTAAAATTATACTCCCATATACTTGATAACATAGTCTATCCTATAGGTAAAAACCAATACTAAATGTAGCCAAGATACAACAATAGATGCAATAGAGGAAAGAACTATTTAAACATCAATAATAAAAAATTCTTAATGTGCGTGCTCATGCTCTTCGGGATATGTTTCGCCACTGTACCTATCATACTCCGAATGAACCAAGTGTAGTTGATTAAGTTATGGTGTCGGAGGGTATCCCAATCTGATTAAAATTTAAACCTATTTTTACTCGCGTGCTCATACATATGAGTATAACGAAATCAGAGAACTATATTTTAATTAGACTGGAGGATATCCGTGATCAGATTGGTTTTTTTACTACCTTGTCTGACACACACGTAAGCTGGAATGACAATACCAGATATAAGTAAACTGTACAGTACAAAGGACTGACGAACCAAGTTCTCCTAATTCTATATGGGTAGATGACTCAACTGAATAGTTAAAAATTGAATTCTTCGTTTTATTCAATCTGACAGGAATGTTAGTCAATTTTATCGTTAAATAACCGTTGAGCGATATAGGCTCCTTTTGAGGCATTTCGTTATATTGTGAACTTGTTATATTTTGAATATATGACACTTGGGGGCCATGATTGGTCAATGAAAATTAAATAAATCTTGAATCTTAGAATTGAAGTCCTTTAACTTCAAATGACAATTAAGACAATCGTCAACTTTACATTGTGTTAAAATATCTTGAAATTTATGATAGTTACAACCTAAATAATGTTTTTACAGGTAGATATATCCTTAAATATTATTCAGAACTATATATTGAAGTCAAAGATAATTCATATATATTTCAAATTTGATCTGTTTTTCATCGAATAACATTCCGAACCAAACTGAATTTGTTTGGCTGTTAAAGAGAGGACACACTCTTTAACACCTAAACGAAGTCCGGTTGGGATTTCGAATGCTCTTTTTTTCTTCGTTTTTTTAATACTTAAAATAATTGAAGAAAAATTTATCAATAAGGAACCTGTTATCGAGTGGTTATTGTTGGTTTTTGTCTGCCATATTAGCTTTCGTGGATTGCTTTAAGCATAAAGTTGGTTTTCACTTTTTAATAATTATTGTTTGAATATTTGCTCATCCAGAGGTCTCAAATTTATAACTTACTATACGGTATGGGTTTTGCTCATTGTTGAAGGCCGTAAGGTGACTGGTGTATGTAGAACTAAAATATCATTTATTTTGGCATTTTTCAGGTCTGTATGCCTGCATGCAGACCTAGTGGATTCTAAACTCTTATTCTAGATACATGTTTGTTGTGGCAATTATGTATGATTGAATGCTAAGCATTTGATATGTAGTGACATTTATCATTTCTTTATGTCTGTGTGAGGAAATAAATTTTACTTTATTTTTGGTAAAACGGACAATCCATAATTTGAGAATATTTTTCATTAAAGCGACTTGAAATTAAAGTTGTAAAGAATTGATTAAATTCATTTGTAAATATACTTAATAAAGTAAGTTACGTTATAACGGTCACTATAGATAAATGTTGTTAAAGGTCAATATAACATGTCAAGCCTCAAGCTAAGTTAAACACTTTACAAGTTCGTTATGCAACTTTTCTTCGGTCATATCGAATACACAGATAATTCAATTGATATATGGATTGAACTTTATCCAGTTACGAATAATTAAATAAGACATCAAACAAAATACGTGATGTCCATGTATATTAAATAGCGGTCAGTTGGGTGTTTCCAACAACAAAAATGTGAGGAGAAAAGAAGGAAATTTAGCAAGAAATTATTATAAACTGTTAGCAAAAGTATTAAACAAATAACTTAAATGGGCCTCAGTTTATTGCTAACGAAAGTACTATATAAACCTGTTTCGCCCAACGCTAGGCACTTCGGTGTTGCGGCATATTAAAATATTAGAAACTTCATTTCTATTATTCACAGGTTAGTTGAACTATTTTATTTAAGTTTTAAGCAGTAAACTGAGTACTCGATAAAGATACAGTATTTTTATATTATCATTTATTCAAAAGCAAAGTTAATTCAAATCATTAAATTACTTGGTTTAAATGTTTATGCAAAGTTGTGTCAATATCAGATAAACAATAAATGCAATATTTAATTAAATAGACTAGAACATAAATTCTCTTTCTATTATCAAGTTTAAATGGACAACTTATTTACATAATTTAAGATGTTAACCTCATAAGGTCAACCGCTTATTTATATATATATAATGGAAACTTCTTCAATTATTCTTTATCTATATTTGTTATGTTTGTATATATTATTATGTATTGTTAATTGTAATACATGACTTCGGTGTTGCGGCATATTAAAATATTAGAAACTTCATTTCTATTATTCACAGGTTAGTTGAACTATTTTATTTAAGTTTTAAGCAGTAAACTGAGTACTCGATAAAGATACAGTATTTTTATATTATCATTTATTCAAAAGCAAAGTTAATTCAAATCATTAAATTACTTGGTTTAAATGTTTATGCAAAGTTGTGTCAATATCAGATAAACAATAAATGCAATATTTAATTAAATAGACTAGAACATAAATTCTCTTTCTATTATCAAGTTTAAATGGACAACTTATTTACATAATTTAAGATGTTAACCTCATAAGGTCAACCGCTTATTTATATATATATAATGGAAACTTCTTCAATTATTCTTTATCTATATTTGTTATGTTTGTATATATTATTATGTATTGTTAATTGTAATACATGACTTCGGTGTTGCGGCATATTAAAATATTAGAAACTTCATTTCTATTATTCACAGCCAAAACAGTCCCACCCAAAGCCAAACTACGGCAAAGTTACAGGTCTGTCTAGAACACTTACGAGACAATTATAGTCCTGATAATTTTGGTGGAGGCCCGAAAGTCCCGAAATTTCAACAAAACCCAATAAGCATGTCAACTCCTGTCAATTATAGAAACAGAGACACTATGAACGACTATCTTCTTAGGAGCAAGAAAACTGAAACTGATTTATCAAAAATCCCAGTAACACCGGTGAAATCAACGACACCGGAGTCCATTAACTTATTACCAACCAACCCTAGTCCGTTATCGGAGGCAAAAGCCACAGTGGAAAATGACGCGTCAGGGGGGACTACACCTGACAAAGGCACGTCCCTGCTTGATAGAACCCGTCGATTGACAGAAAGGTTATTGCAGCCGTTGGCACAGCCGCCAAGCAATTCCACGCCTGACCAAGTGCCTATGCGGCAGCAACAACCATCACAAGAGGACCCGGAAAAGCAGCAGTTAAAGTTGCATGTGCAAAACTTAGAACGGCAGCTTCAACTGCAAATGCAGCTAAACCAATTACAGCCGCAAGTACCACAGGCGTCCCAACCTGAATCTCGGGGACCAAAACATATGGGAAACGTGACCCTGCAGAGGTTCGAGGGAAGAGGTGAAAATCCTATCAAGTTTTGGAGTCTCTTCATCCAGTATTGCACCTTGTTCAGGTACACGGATAGCGACACAGTTGGCGTTTTCCCACTGCATGTTTCCAGCACTGTTCAAGACTGGTTTTATTCGCTGGAGGAAGGCGTTCGTAGGAACCTGCAGCGTCTGAAGGAGGCGTTTTTGGAGAGATTCCAAAGACGAAACTTAGAATACAGCCTCCAGCACATAAAGCAAAATCAGTCTGAATCGGTCGACGACTACATCAATAGAATTCTGGCACAAACTTCCGACAGCAACGTTCCAGAAGCCATCCTGGTGAGCATGCTAGTTGGAGGATTGAGGCCAGATCTCGCAGCAATAGTAATGCCTCAAGTACCAAAGACCCATCAACAGTTTTTGGCTGCAGCCTCGATTGCGGAGAAAACGGTCCAGATGACGACGGCAAAGCCTATTGAAAATCTGACTTTGCAGGTAGCCAACATAGCCAGTATGGAGGACAGACTGTCGGCCATGTTGACGGACAAACTTAGCAGTAGCGTCGCCGAAATGTCAGCCATACAGGCCCACAACAATAACCAGTCAAATGGACCGTACCAAAGACAAAACTATCCCCAACGACCGAAAACCAATTTCCAGCAACGGAACTACCAGCGTCCACCGAGTTCATCGTGTCAAGGATGTGGTAGGTACTGTTTAAATAGACAATCATGCCCTGCACAAAATTCAATTTGTCGGTTTTGTAAAGTTAAGGGTCATTTTGAACAAGTGTGTAGAAAAGCTAAGAGGTACAATCAATATCCACAAAATCAATACTCGCAACATCAAAACCAACAAAATAATTATACTCAAAATCAGTATCCTCAAAATCAAAATCCTCATAGATAGGAATTCGCGCCTGTCCAAGGCTTTCCCAAGGATAGGCACAATGGAAAGTCGGCTAAAATCAACTTAACGACAATATTACATAAAAACACAACTCGTGTTTTCGTAAATAGTATACCAACAAATGCTTTGGTTGACACCGGTGCAGACATATCTTGCATATCACAGTCATTTTTAAATAAAATTTTCATAGGTAAACCAAGTTTAAAGAAAACACATGTATATTCAGTTTTAGGTATAGGACAACAAAAATTGAGAGTGCTAGGAAAAGTATTTTTGACTATTAAGATAAAAGACAAATGTTTTGATTTTGATTTTCATGTCATTGACACTTTACCACATTCACTCATCATAGGTGTAGATTTTTTAGAGACAAACAATGTAACTATTAATTTATCTAGAAAATCTATGGAAATATCAGATAAATGTGCTAAAATTTGTTCACTTGAGACTAATTCAGGTTTAGCTCGATGTATTAAATCTTGTGCATTGCCTGCCAATTCCGAGATAGTTCTACCAGTGCATGTGTCAAGAAGAATCCAAGGTGAGCAAGTACTATTAGAACCCAATCCAAATCTTGAAAAGAAGCAGCTAATGGGCGCACGTTGCATAGTTACAGTCAACAAAGGTAAGTCAGTATTTAGAATCATTAATCCAACAAATAAAACCGTACACTTACCAAGACGCTATGTACTTGCAAATGCAATTAACGTGGATGCACAATATATGCAGACGTTAGATAATGCCAAAGTTAAAAGCATAAACACAATAGAGACTAAGCCGAAAAATACAAACAGAGACAATTTAGAATTCGATTTATCGAAAGCGGAGTTGACGTCACAACAAAAGTCGCAACTTCGGACGTTCCTTAATGAAAACAAGAATGTTTTTGCTACGAACTTGAAAGAATTAGGCCAAGCTACATCATTTAAGCATAAAATCGAAACACACGATTCACATCCGGTGAAAATGCCATTTTATCGACAACCACCACACTTACAAAGAGAAATAGATAGACAAGTCCAAGAAATGTTAGATAACAACATTATTGTGCCTTCAACATCTGACTGGTTTTCTCCAGTACTCCTAGTGCGCAAGCACGATGGGTCATATCGATTCGCAATCGATTATCGTAAGGTCAACAAGCAAACAAAATCGATTTATTTTCCATTACCCAGGCTTGAGTGTGTCTTCGATGCGATAGGCGCTGCCAAAGCAACCATGTTCTCAGTACTCGATTTAGCTTCCGGGTATTGGCAAATTCCAATGGACCCAGAAACAAGACACAAAGCAGCTTTCATAACACAATCAGGAATTTATGAATGGCTAAGACTACCATTTGGGTTATCAAATTCTCCTGCGTCTTTTTCAATGGTTATGGCGCAAGTTTTAAGGGGAATCAACTGGAAATTTGTCCTATGTTATGTCGACGATATCCTAGTTTTCAGCGAAAATTTTGAAACTCATCTAGATCATTTACAGCAACTTTTTAACTGTCTCTCAAAAGCCAACTTAACATTAAAACCATCCAAATGTAGTTTTGCAGTTACAGAGGTAAAATATCTCGGTCATGTCATCTCCAAAGAAGGTGTCAAAGTGGACCCAGAGAAAACTTCTGCAGTTGCAACATTTCCCGAACCGAAAACACAAAAAGACGTACGTAGTTTCTTAGGTATGTGTAATTACTATAGAAAATTCGTTCAATCATACTCAAAAATCACTACACCTTTAACAGAATTATTGAAAAAGGATGTTCAATTTCGTTGGACACCGCAATGTCAAATCGCATTTGACGATCTAAAGACAAGACTTACATCATCACCAATTCTCGCATATGCCGACATGAACAAACCTTTTGAAATTATATGTGATGCATCAGATTATGCAATAGGACATATGTTAGTACAAAAAGACGACCAAAATAGATCAAGAGTTATAGCATACGGAGGAAGATCGCTAGGTGCAGCTGAAAGAAAATACCACACAACCGAAAAAGAATGTTTAGCTATTGTCAACGCAATCAAAAACCATGACACATATCTATCAAACAATCGATTTATAATACATACCGATCATCAAGCCCTTTGTTGGCTACAAAACACAAAACATAAATCAGGAAGACTCTTACGTTGGGCAATGGCGTTACAACATTATACATTTGATATTAAGCATATTAAGGGCAAAGACAACACATGTGCTGATGCATTAAGTAGGCGAACATACCCAGAAACACATCCAGATCAAGATCAGATGGAAGATGGTCCAAAATCAGCAGACATTTTCACACTTGATAACACAAAAGGAGAAATAACAGAGGTGCATTTCTATTATGACCACGATCCAGATACAGTCATAGCAGCCGTGCAAGACGATAACTCGACAGTGCAAGTCGAACAACAGGATGATATAGGTACGTTACAACGCGCATGTCCTGACTTTGAAGACATCTATACATACTTGAATGATGGAACTCTCCCAGAAAATAACAAATTAGCACGTAAAATCAATGTAGAATCTCAACAATATAGTATTCTGAATGGCATTCTTTATCATTGGTACCAACGACGAACAAAGAAACCAGAAGAACAAGCAAGACAACATCAACAACTAGCACTTCCAAGAGTACTAAGGGATGATGCATTACTAGCTTATCATGATAGTCAAAGCGGTGGCGCACATTTAGCAACAAAGAGAGTTTACGAAGCACTTAAACTAAAGTATTATTGGCCAAAAATGCACCAACAGGTAGATGATTATGTAAGATCATGTGACCGATGTCAAAGGATAAAAACTAGAAATCAAAATCATAAAGCACCACTGACACCTATGCCTATAGCAGACTCATTTGAAAGATGGCACATAGACATTTTAGAGCTCACACAGACAAAAGACGGAGATAGGTACGTGTTACTTGTCGTTGATAGTTTTACCAGATGGTGTGAAGCTTTCGCACTAAAAACACAAGACGCCAACGCCATAGCAAAAGTTTTATATGCAGAAATATTTTGTAGATTTGGTTGTCCCAAAATTTTGCTAAGTGATAGGGGAGCCGCTTTCATGTCGAAACTTGTCAGCGCGCTTAGTGAAATTTTTCATGTTAAACGTCACTACACTTCTTCATATCACCCACAAACAAACTCAACAGTCGAAAGACAAAATTCTACATTAGCACAATGTTTAAGAGCATATTGTAGCAAAGATCATAACAACTGGCCAAAATTATTACCAGGAATTATGATGGCTTTTAGAATGTCACCAGCAACAGAATCAACTGAGTACTCACCATATTATCTACTGTTTGGTAAAGAAATGAACTTACCATTCGATGTAGACGTACAACCAAAAGATAACATGGGCAAAGAAGCAAAAGAACATATCCAGGAGGTAATCGAAAAATTAAAAATAGCTAAAGAAATAGCTACAGACAATGTTACTCGTCGCCAAGAAAAGAATAAACAGCATTATGACAAAAAGGCAAAGGAACCAGATTTTAGGGTTGGACAAAAAGTTTTAATTCGAGTTTACAAAGTCCCCCCAGGACTTTCTCGTAAGTTACAAGACAAATCAGACGGACCTTATTTGATAACACAATTGGGACCAAATCACACATATCGTTTAATGAACTGCAACACACGCAAAGTAATGAAATCGTTGATCAATGCTCAACATTTACGTATTTATCACGACCCACGTATATTTAGACGTCAAGATGACATAATCGTCACACCACAGAACAATGATGAAGAAAACGATGATCATCAACGAAATGCAGATAACGCACACACGGTTAACAATGAAGTTGACAAAGAAATAGTAGACGAAACAACGTATGAAGTTGAATGTCTACTTGGAAAGAAAACAATGAACGGAGTTGTTCATTACAAATGCAAATGGAAAGACGGATCAACTCCAACCTGGGAACCAATCGATAACATTGCGGAAAATCTTATCGAAGATTATCATATTAAGTATACTCAACAAGGTAAACGCCGCAAACGCAAAGGTAATCAGAATTATCGTTATTTCAATCAATCCCAGGAATAAACAAATCTTACGAAGGTAAGTGTCATAATTGCCTCTAAAGCCTTGATGGCAGACTAATGCAGGTAAGTGCAGAACAGTATAGAACATTTACGATTTACATGTGCACTTGGTTGGACTCGATTGGTTCATAAGCGACGTCGTGAATTTTATTTGGCATATATTTTTTTTTTTCTCAAAAATCATTTTTCAAAATTCAGTGTCTGTCAATTATTTAAGTGTCTGATCAACACTTATGTGACTAGCACTATTTTTTTTTCTTTTTATAGGAAATGTAACCAGTCGATTTAACCTAATGTTAATGTTTATCGTTATGGTCATACTACCACTCAGCATCGTCGGAGGACACATGACAGTGCAAGCAAGCAATGCAGAAGAAGATATACACCGACTAAATTATGGTGTACTTTTTCAAAAACAACCGTCATTATATTTATCACGTGAATATTGGCTTCACACTTTTGAAGTAGAATTACCTAGTAATATTTCAATTCAAAGCATACCTGCATGCACTTCTGCTGTATCAACTTGTTATTTATTTAACTCAATCATTTTTCATGTTAATGTATTAAAGGAAAACACAATGACATTTACTCATCGAACACTTATGGAAATTTTTGACATGGTTCCAGAAACAGATTTGAACCCACAAAAACGTAAATCTCGTGCTTTATTGCCCTTCATTGGTTCGTTAAGTAAAAGTTTCTTTGGAACAGCAACCATGGACGATGTCAACCTTTTGGCTAATCACATAAATAAATTGATAAAAAGAGATAGACAAATGAGTCATGCTTTGGAACAACATGGTTCACACATTTCATCTTTTATGAAAGTAGTAAATCATAGATTTGACAAGTTAAAGGAAGGCATGAATCTAAATCATCTATTGGCCAATCAAATCTTGTCTTCAAATAAACATTTTGAAATATTGATGACAAATCTGTCCATGGTAGCATTCGAACAAATCAGTAAAGCTAATGAAATTCAAGTTCAATTAGTAAATACTCTTTCTTCAATTCAGTCTCTCATAAATGGTAAAATCACACCTCATTTAATCCCAGAACATGTTTTGAAGAAGACAATAAACGGTATCTTTGATATCTTGAAGACAGATTATCCTCAATTTCATTTACTTCAAAACAAACCATCTATGTATTATCAGAATGCCAAATTTTTTTTTACAAGGCATCATTCAAGGTTATATATCACAATGAAATTTCCAATTTCATCATTTTCATCAGCTTTAACATTGTACAAGATTTTGTCTTTTCCTCATCCTATCAGTCAAAAGAATACAACAAAAGCTTCTCAAATACTTGATTTACCAACTTATGTTGCAATAACGGCTAATCATCGTCATTTTACAACTTTTAATTACGAAACCTTGTACAATTGTGAATTTGATAGGTACATCACATGTGATGTTTCGTTACCCATTCAAACTATTAAAACGTCAAGTTGTATTTTTGCATTGCTACATGATAACAAATCAGTAATTTTTGACCAATGTAATTTCAGATTGTTACCAGAATTGACAAAACCAAATATTTTTGAATTATCACCGGCATCAATTTTATTGACGAATGCTAAAGAGGTAACTTTGAAATGCCCCAATAAAACATCAACATTACCAGGATGTCAATTTTGCATTCAAAATATTCCTTGTAGTTGTACTCTACAAACTTCAACAATAACATATCATCCTCGTTTGGTAAATTGTCTGGAAAAGTTACAAGAAAGTACAAGATTGTATCCAATAAACTTAGCATTATTACATGCATTTTTTGGTTTTGACAAGGTAAAATCTTATTTTGGCAATACATATTTCAAAACTGCAGTAAATATATCGATTCCGAATTTTAAATTGTACAATCATAAGTTTAATTCAATTTTAGCGTCAGATATTAAAGACCACTTAAATTTGAAGAAAATTGCTAAATCAGCTAAAAAGGATGAGACTATTTTTCAAAATTTAGCAGAACCTTTACTCGATGGTCAAATAACACTTGATTCGAACTGGCCAGACACTAACGGTTATTTAGCAATAGCATCAATAACTATTGGAGGAATTTCTTTTATAGGTTTTGTTTATATGTTTTTACAATTCAGATCTTTAAGAACTTCACTTTTGATTTTACAACAAGTTCATAATGTACATTCAGAGTCAACAGTACCATCTTTTCTTTTTGAAGCAGTCACACAAACAACTACACAATCATTTCTAGACTCAGCTATTTTAAAAGAATTTACTTGGGTACATGGATCTTTAATAGTAGGAGTTTTAATTTTAATACTTTTAATCTGTGTTTTAGTTTGCCTATTCAAACATAAATCTCATAACACAACTATAATGTTAGAAATTACTTCAGGAGGATCATGTGCTACCATTCCAGTTACATCATTTCCATTGTGTCCTTCTTATTGGGATATTCAACCCCCGGTCACTATTCAGAACGTTCAAATTTGTAATTTCCCATTTGGAAAACTTTCAGTTGAGTGGCCAGGATTCAAAGTCATAAATAAATTGACAAAACAAAGCTTAACAGTTAAAACATGTTTCAAAGTTGGTTTGTTTAATTATTTCAAAGTAAGGCGAATAATCAACCAACCATATTGTGCTTACATATTGATTGTACATCAAGGATTAGCTACACCTTTACAAGAAAATCAAGAACCTTTAATTCCCAAAATTCCACAGTATCAAGAATTTCAAAACAATCTGTACCCAAATTTAGAACCTTATTTATAGGCAGTCAAGCAAGGCATGACGTTTAAAAATAAACAGTATCTATTCATGTCTTATGTATATATTTGTGTTTGTTTAATTAATTTGTTTATATATGTCTAATATCTACTAGTTTTATATTGATAGCTTGTGTTTTTAATACCGTTATCGTTGCCAAGCGGATGTTACATAACATTTTACGATATTTCATTATCAGATTCCAGATAATCCTATGTGCGGACATTTAATATTCATTTCAGCAGTGACTTTGAACCAGTGTGGACATTTAAATATGTGAACAATTAATATAGTGAAATTTGGACAATAATTTTACCGAAAGTGAACAATATCTCATATATATACTTATTTTGTGTCATGCATTTTATTACAGAATTGTTGTTGTGTGCTTTGAGGACAAAGCAAATTTTTAAGAAGAGGGTAATTGTGAGGAAATAAATTTTACTTTATTTTTGGTAAAACGGACAATCCATAATTTGAGAATATTTTTCATTAAAGCGACTTGAAATTAAAGTTGTAAAGAATTGATTAAATTCATTTGTAAATATACTTAATAAAGTAAGTTACGTTATAACGGTCACTATAGATAAATGTTGTTAAAGGTCAATATAACATGTCAAGCCTCAAGCTAAGTTAAACACTTTACAAGTTCGTTATGCAACTTTTCTTCGGTCATATCGAATACACAGATAATTCAATTGATATATGGATTGAACTTTATCCAGTTACGAATAATTAAATAAGACATCAAACAAAATACGTGATGTCCATGTATATTAAATAGCGGTCAGTTGGGTGTTTCCAACAACAAAAATGTGAGGAGAAAAGAAGGAAATTTAGCAAGAAATTATTATAAACTGTTAGCAAAAGTATTAAACAAATAACTTAAATGGGCCTCAGTTTATTGCTAACGAAAGTACTATATAAACCTGTTTCGCCCAACGCTAGGCACTTCGGTGTTGCGGCATATTAAAATATTAGAAACTTCATTTCTATTATTCACAGGTTAGTTGAACTATTTTATTTAAGTTTTAAGCAGTAAACTGAGTACTCGATAAAGATACAGTATTTTTATATTATCATTTATTCAAAAGCAAAGTTAATTCAAATCATTAAATTACTTGGTTTAAATGTTTATGCAAAGTTGTGTCAATATCAGATAAACAATAAATGCAATATTTAATTAAATAGACTAGAACATAAATTCTCTTTCTATTATCAAGTTTAAATGGACAACTTATTTACATAATTTAAGATGTTAACCTCATAAGGTCAACCGCTTATTTATATATATATAATGGAAACTTCTTCAATTATTCTTTATCTATATTTGTTATGTTTGTATATATTATTATGTATTGTTAATTGTAATACATGACTTCGGTGTTGCGGCATATTAAAATATTAGAAACTTCATTTCTATTATTCACAGCCAAAACAGTCCCACCCAAAGCCAAACTACGGCAAAGTTACAGGTCTGTCTAGAACACTTACGAGACAATTATAGTCCTGATATCTGCATAGCCAACCTGTATCAAAATAGGGAGATACTGTATGATTGCGAAAGAGACAATTCTCCATCAAAGGCCGATTTACAATTATCAATTATAATTAGATATGACAATATAAGCAACAAACATGAAGCATTGTACAGAATATAATGAGACAGATATTATAATAGGCATATACCACATCTTCGTATATCTATATATGAAAATAACATTAATGATAACAATACGTTATAAGTACTCTTGAATATTTGTTTTTAAGATACCAGATCTGATTGCCTGCATACCGACCTGTTTTCTAATGAATTATAGTTTTACATACATTAAATTGAGAATGGAAACGTGGAATGTGTCAAAGAGATAACAACCCGACCAAAGAGCAGAAAACAGCCCAAGGCCACAAATGGGTCTTCAACGCAGCATGAAAATCCTGCATCCGGAGGCGGGCTTCAGCTGGCCCCTAAATATATAAACATTTTAGTATGGTCAACCAGACTCAAGCTAGCGACCAACTAAAGAACACAATGATAATCAACTTGTCAAAGAATCATAATGTGGTATATGGGAAAACCACAAAACCACATTATGAAACAACGTTCTGTTAAAAAGAAAATCTAGCTACCAGTACGGTATATATTGTGTTTTAACATTTAAATGACCAGAGACGCCCAGCATTTGAAGTGAAAGGGTGCACTACAACACCAATGACGTCTGAAGCTGAATGCACATACTAGCTTGCTTGCTAAATGCCGGCATATTGATATCAATCAGTAAAGAAATGCATAGTTTCTATAAAAAATAACGTGCCAGCAATTTGAAAAAAAGTCAAAACATCTTCAAAAAGCCTGTGTCAGATGTATGATGTTTGAGGAAATTCTGTATGTGTCTATTATTAGGACAGTCTTTGTTAACGAGCTATATTTATTCCCCTATATTCAAACACATACTATATATTAACATATATGTATTTATATAAATGAAAGTGCGCCCCCTCTTCTGATTTTACACCATCGGGAAAGCGACTAGTTGGGAAAATAACCATATTTAGACGTCTTCTTTACGTTTGAGATTGTAAACAGGTATCAATTGTTGCAAATAAAATATTAAGACGGAGTGTCTATACCCCAAGCACATAATGGCTATATAATAGCACACGGCGGATCAGAAATGAGAATAAAAAGTAAACAAATTGAATTAAAAAAAAAAGTATATTTGTCTATGATGATTTGCTCGCTCAATCATTTTCCATATTCAGTGAACCGTGACATTTGTGTCAAAATGCTAATTTTGTCATTCAATTTAGAAAGATCATATTATAATGAACATGTGTACTTAGGTTCATGTTGATCTGACTCCAACTTCATCTTAGACTAGATTCACCAATACCGTCAATCTAATGTCGTATGAATGGACGGACGGACGGACAAAATTTTATTTAAGCACAAATCAAATTATCAAAGATTTTTTCATAATATTCATATTTTCTTAAAGTTCTGTAGGATATACCAGAGACAAAGTATGTATGTCTCTAGATATACATTTCTTCTGTAGTGTACACGGGAAAGAGAATTATCATATAATTGTACATTTTAGAAAACTTGTGTATATCCAGTCGGGATTCTACTTCGTCATTATTATCTTCCCATTACGCCACCTAATTTTTATAATCGTAAAAATGGAAGCCATTGTAGTGATGACGCGCTGTCAATTTAGCTCTTGAAAACCGATAAATTTATCCACATACTACATAGTATCATTACGATCCTGTTATGCCTGTTGTATTTTAAAAGACAATTGTATCTACTAGCTATTGAATATCATTTAATATACTTTTATGCATTTCATCAACTTAAAACCATTGTCTAATCGGTTGTCAGGGGGAATTTTCGAAAGTTCAAAAATATTCAAAAAAATCCCAATTAAATATTTCGTGGAAGGGCAGACTAAAAATATTAAGATGTTGAAGACTAATTACCCTAGATAACACTCACAAAACATGAAGTTTTTTGAAGTTATGCATTTTTAAGATTGACTTGAAAAGTCTGTCGTCAAGTACTTTTAGTAAAAAAAATTGTTATTCGAACACACCTACTCTGTTGTTATAACTCATTAGAAAGGTATTTCACTTGACCCATATATTTCATTTTTTAGTACTGTAAATTCTTTATGTTATTATATCAACCTAGAGCCTAAATATATAAAAATAATAGAATCTGAAGCGAGATGATGACTGTATCAAATATTTTTCCTTAATACGTTTTCAAGACAGAATAGTCAACTCAAACACGGCTGAACATAAAAAGGTGTACTCGACTTTCTCTTTTCGATGAAATTATTGCCCATTTTGGGAATTTTTTCCCAAAAAACTGTCGCCGGGGGCAGAGATGCAAATTAATGCTTTAAAAAGATCAGTCTTTTATCTTTCTTTGGAATTTTTTCGGCGGAATTTATGCTTATGCACAAAAATGATCCACATGTAATTTGCACCTACCACAATCGACCGTTTTGTAAAAGCTTGTCTATAATTTAAAAGTTTACAAATATCTCGAAGCTCCATACCATAATTTAAGTAAAAACACATACATAAGACGCATAAAATCCTACATAAGACACATTCATTAAACTTTTAAAGCCCATAGAAACAGATGTAAACAATTTCAAATTTACCAAGTTGGCCTTTTTGACCTTCTTTAACAAAGAGTTCCATTTCTTTTGTTTGATTTCAACTGAGTTTCCGCCTTTATCATTAAAACTAAACTCTGGAAATACATGTGTACACAGGATGTTAATGTCACCTGATGGCTTTTGGTTTGACACGATACCTTTACATTACCTGACAATTTGTTGTTATGTAACATTATAACTTAAAACTTAAACCTGTTCGTATATTGGTCAATTGGTCATAGAAACTTTAAAGGGACATTTACTTAAATAGGTACAGAGCGTTTATCTATTGTTGTGACCAGGCTCAAGCTAGCAGCTACTCGCTAGCAGCCACTATTTGGATATGTCTATGAACCCAAAAGTTGCATAAGATTCAAACGCTTAATTAGATATCAAAAACTGATAGTTGTTGGTTATATATCAACAAAAACATTTTGAGTACGTTTGAATCTTATGCAACTTTTGGGTTCATAGACATATCCAAATACTGGCTGCTAGCATAGTGGCTGCTAGCGAGTGGCTGCTAGCTTGAGCCTGGTATTGTTGTGCATGTTTTTTTCCCTCACGATACGAAAATTTGTTTTTCTTAAAAAAATATATTATTTTTCAATATGTAGAGATACATTATACAGAAAAAAAGGGGAAAAATCTTTAAAATAATGAAAAATATTTTTCACGACTATTTTCTACACAGCTTCCGTCGAGGGGGTGCTACGTTTGCCTCAGTTTGATAAAGAATATTTGTATCTTCCTGATTTTCATAGCTCTCATGTTATTTTACATTTTGATACTACTGATGTAGAAAATCATACTCCGGAGATTATTTTATGTAAATTTAGAAATTTGATCTACAGTATAAGAAATAGAGATAGAGACATAAGTATTTTGATCTCTTCTATTTTACCGCGACCAGTTGATTTTATTCAGTTAGGAAGTAGGGTTGTTGAGATTAATAAAGCCTTAATTGGTATTTGTAAAGATGAAATAATAAGTTTCATTAAGTCTTATAGAAGATTCTATTAAAAGGTTCTCCAAAAAGAGATTTATTTGCTATAAAAGATGGAGGTTTGCATTTAAATGAAGCCGGAGTTTTAGAGCTTAAAATGTGTTTTATTCATGTTATTTCGCATTTGTAAATTGTACATGTTTAATTATATAGTTGTATTTTTAATATATATATGAGACAGTTGATTGATATATGAATTAACGTTATTTATTTATATTTTGTAGATAACCATTCAAGTAGGTTGCTTACAATGAAGTTCGCTATTAATTGAGTCAGAAGATTTACAAAGAAGTAACATATTCTTTGGATCTTCAGTCAGAGATTTACAAGAAAGTATCGTATTGATTTCTTGAGTCTCTTCAGGCTTACACAAAAGTTTGTGGGTCTGTTTTATTACTATTAAGATCTTCGAGTAAAATGTTCAATGCCAGTGTTTCCTTTATTTGCTGTGGAATTTTTATTTCTTTGCTATTCAATGATTATAAAATGTTTATTAATTCCATTCTTACATCCCAACTTTGTCTAAATTACATGTGCAGTGTCCATTCCATCATAACTGAAGAAAAAAAACGCGTATATATATATAGGCATAAAGCTAACAAAAAGTAATTCCACGTTGAGGCTATAACAGAAAAAATCCTAGATTCTTATCCCCATCTGATGTTTGGTAATTTTCTTTCTTTTTGCCAAAATATTTTCACCAAAAAAAAAAATAATGAAAAATTAAATTGAAATCGAAAAAAAAAAAAGAATTAAATTTGTATTGCATGCTTCTTTGGACTATTTAGATAGTTAAATAGTTTCTGATACTTGAAGTATCACCTAGTTTGACGACGCATTACCGATTGAACAGTCGGATATAAATAATCCTATTTAATTATTAAGAAGTATTCCAGACTTTGACACTATTTACAAAGAAGTATTCCAGACTTCGCCACTATACTTCCGAGTTCATATATATATATTTAACATTTTCTTTAATATATTGTTTCCGTAATAAAACCATCTTTTAGTTAAATGATTTCAGCAAATATCAAATGTATTTCAAGAAATCAAACTTTGATAATATGGAATATGAAATTTTGCAATCAATAACACTTTACACTATACAAATCGATAAAACTAGAACCGTTTACAAGCCGTTGACTGATGTAGTATAACGAAATCCGAGTTCTATATTTTAATTAGATTGGTACAACACTTAAGGTATTTTCAAGTACCTGCAAGCTATCTTACTT